CACTTACATAAGGAGGGAGAGAAGCCGTTAGGCAGGAGGAGGGAGATTAGAGTAACACAAAGAGAGATGGGAGAAATGTAGGAAGAGAGAACCACCCAGGAAATAAGCCCAGATAGTTCCACATAGCCCAAAAGCATACTCTAAGCCCCAAGCATCACCATTCATGCAATCTTAGTAATTTCCATAGCTTTCCATCAAACATCCTAGCCATTAGAGGCTTTACTATCACCCTAAGAAAGCCTAGATTATCCAGCAAAGAATGCCATGCAACCATGTAAATCCTTTCTTTTTCATGTAAACTGATAATCTTCTAGCTTCCACACCATGCTTCACTTGAGCAAGTCATTATCTTGATCTTTCACGATATCGTCGAGTTGTTGATGTTACCAAGGTATTTCCTAAGATAAGCTATCTCTTTCGAAATATCTAGGGACTTGTTGCGAATCCACACTAAGGGAGATAAGAGGACGTTCTCAAAACCCAAATCCACCTCAACCTAAGAGTCCTCCAACATAGTCTAGACATTGTTGGAATTAATTTCCATTGGAGTATCAATTGGCTTGTTCAACATTGTTGGAATTAATGCACTTCCATATTCCCAAGAACTTTAAAATTAAGAGCATCTCCAAATGAGATGTCAAAATGTTCACATCAGTTATAATGGTAAAAAAAGACCACACTAATGTCCTCCAACCGAAATGTTAATTCCTATGTGGCACTGACATGGATTGGCCAAAAGAGGTTGCTATCAAATTTGATAGCAGCTTCAAAATTTGACATCTCATTTGAGGATGGTTTTAAGAGTCAAGATATTTCCAACAAGTTATTGTATTAGAGTTCCTAGACATTTCCACATTGTTGGAATATTAATGCACATGTTCTTTTACTTCATTTTTTTGGAATCTGTTTTTGCATGACCGTTTGTTGTATTCGTCGCGCAAGTACAACTTGTGCGACGAGATTTGGTTCGTCGAGCAAATAGTTTTTTCTACTAGTGGAGAATGACTATAGTTTTTACAGGCATTTAGACATGGGTCAAAAAAATCAACAAAGTTATAAGGTTAAGTCCAGTGTATTATCTTTTCTGCACTTTTATTTCTTTTATACTTAGTTTATATATTTTTAAAAAATATTAAAGATAAATAAAAATCTTCTGGTTTCATGCATCTTCTAATTTCAATAAATCTACTTAATATCTTCTAACAAAAAACTAATATTCTAACACAAATCCATCTGCAAAACATACGACCATAACTCAAAGTAACAAATATGTGAATGTAGATTATACCTATAAGCGAGATGTTAAACCTAATTAAAATGTACAAAAACATAATATACATACAAGCAAGACATATTAAATTTTTGTGGCGCATGTCGATTATAAAAACAAATTTGTCATATAGGCAGATAAATACCTGTGATAAAGGTTGATTATAAAAATTAAAAATAAAATGGATAAAGGGGTTTAGAGCAAGAAGATGAACAAGAATTAACCAAAAATTAAAAAAATACAAAATACAAAATAAAAAAGAAGAAGAAGAAGAAATAATTAGAAAGAAATATAATAAATCTTATTATGAATGAGATAATTATGGATAATAAATAATTGGGTAAATTACACAAAACTACCTCAATTATTGGTCTCACGACAATATCATACATCATCTTTTAAAATTGACAATGTCATACCTCATCTTTAGAATTTGGTCCAATGTTATACCTTCTGTTAACTTGGCCGTAAATTTCTCAGTTAAATGCTGATGTGACTTGATTTGAGGCCTACACCCATTTACCTTGTCCCCTTCCTTGCAACCCAACACCCATCTTCCTTGACCCCTTCCCCTTCCCTGCAATCCAAGTCCAAAACCCAGATCCCTTTTCCTCTTCCCTGCAACCCCGACCCCTTTCCCACCCATGCCAACATCTCCCCCCCCCCCCCCCGCCCCCCAGACCCTCGCATTCAGCCATGCCGATCTTGATTGCCCTAAGACCAACCCCCTCATCAACTCTGAATCCGAATTCAAAATGCTCCAGCATCAACTCCGCGGCTCGATTAAGATAATCGATGATTGCTCCTTCAAGGTCTTTGATTTCGACATGCTCTATGGCTCCGACGTTCACTGGTGGGGCGCTACCACCCCCAATTTCACTAACCTCACAGTCAGCTTTTCCGTCTCCGATTAGAAGCCCAATGAGATGTACAAAAGCACCAGTTGTATCGTGTGCTTGAAGGAAAATGTCATGTGGGAACGGATCTAGGTCCTCGCCGTGTGGGACGTCCCCACCGCTTCCTTGGAATTTGGATTGGAAGTGGACAGAGAAAGCAGTCCAACCTCACCATCCTCCAGCTCTTCCCCTCCTTTGTCAAGTCCACCCAGGCCCTCACCCACCCGCCGCCTATTCCCCTCCTTCCCTGGAAATCGGATCAGAAGTGGATAAAGAAAGGGTTGGTTTGCCGAATGTTTTGTCTGAGGTGTTTGGTTTTGGTTTGGATTTGAAGATGTTGTTTTCTTATGGGGTTTGGATAAGGTTGAAACTTAATTCCAAGTTGAAGAAAGAATCTTCTTCTTCTTCTTTAACGTCGTTTTCTTTAGCGATAGAAGGATTTAGGGGTGTGGCGGTGAAGGCATTAGGTTTCCAGAACTTGAGGAAGAAGCGGAAGAGCTGGAGGACAATGAAGTTGCATGGAAGGGTGAGGAAAGGTAGGTCTTGGGGGGGGGGGGGTAGGGAGGGGAGATGTTGGAATGGGTGGGGATGGGATCGGGGGTTGCAAGGAAGGGATCTGGGTTGCAGGGAAGAGGTTGGGGAAGATGGGTGTTTGGTTTTAATTTTTTTATTTTTTAATATTTTATTAACTTTTTTAATAGAAAGTGAGCCCGAATCAAGTCACATCAGCATTTAACTGAAAAATTTATAACCAAGCTAGCGGAAGATATAACATTGGATCAAATTCTATGACATTATCAATTTTAAAAAATAAGGTATGATATTATCATGAGACCAAATTGAGGTAGTTTTGTATAATTTATTCTAAATAATTCTAAACTTAAGGGCATGTTTGGTGGACCGGTCCGGAGAGGAGTTGATATTTCAGACTGGTTAGACTAGGATTGGATTGGATGGCTGCTCACCTGCTGTTTGGTGTAGACTCTCAAATTGAACAGGAAGGATGGGATTCAAAATGTGAAATCTTCTTTTGGTTAGAGAAAATGTGAAACAGATGAATCCCAAAAAACCAGAAAGACCAGATCGAACCCACTCCTCCGCTCACGACCCCACTACGAAGCCCAACCCGTTCAGGATGCCTTTCGCGAAGACACAGCAGCGTGGATCCTACTCGCGACAACCCATTCAAGTCTCCACTCGCAACCTGCTTATGACGCCCTCAAACCTGCACATCAGATCCGCGACATCTCGACGACGACCCACCCACCTAACAATGCTGTCGTACCCCCCACGCCCCTTGCAACCCATCACACTGCTCATGACCCGCAACCCACCCACGACGCCACGCCACTCACAGTTCGTTGCAGAATTGCTGAGATTAGATGAATCTTTGAAGATAGGAGAGGAGATGCCTTAGTAGAAGAATGTCGGATTCGTAACCTGTGGTTCAGGTTGGGTTACGTAGCCCGTCCTATTTGGGATTTGAATCCAGCACTCAAATCCTGACCGTGATACAAATTGCATCATCAAACACGGGTTGAGACTCAAATTCAAATTAATTAAGCCAGCCCACCAAACCGACTTAAGAGATTTGACTTATTTTAATAAAATGCACTATTCCTAGTAGAGAATTGTTATTGGTACTGTTCTAAAAAATCTCGTCTAATCACTAGGCGACTAGCTATCATCCCGATTAATGTCTAGGCATTTGAAAATTAAGAAATGGTGCCTATGCTTGCTGAGGCAACCACCTAAACCGCCTAGCCTGCCAAACATGTATAGGTCATGACTCACTTAGATTGAAAATAAATAACTTTCATTTTGCATTTTATTTTTTTTAATAAATTGTAAAAGACTTATTGCATACTTAAATGAACATACATTATAAGCTTGTTCCCTATGTTTTCATTATATTACAATACTTCATAATATATATGTCATTCTATTTTGTAGTTTATGATGAAATTTACACACACACATACACACACACATAGGCCCTTTAACAAGAGGGATCCCCATTTTTTTTTGAAAAATGGGGACACCCTCTTGGCCATTCGATTGACTTTAATGAAATTGTGTGGTTGAGATTAAATCACAGACCACACAATCTCAACCACACAATTTCCCACACAATTTCATTAAAACCAAATCTAACGGTCAAGAGGGTGTTCTCAATTTTTTTTTTTTTTTTTTAAATGGGGATCCCTCATGTTAAATCATCCTCTCTATATATAAAAAGTACAAGCAGACACTTATTTACGCGAAATATAATATATTTACTTAATTTCGTCTAGTACACCTAGGCGCCCGCCTAGCCGCTAGGCCCCAACCCGCCACTCGACTAGCGCCTAGCGTCTTTTAGAACCTTAATTAATGGTACTTCAAAAATCTTATTTTTCACTCCTCATAAGTGTATTTTTCTTCTTAAATATAGAAAGTTTGGAGTACAAAATGAGAATTTTAAAATGCCAATAACATTTCCCTTTCTAATATTGGATAAAAAAATGGGAGGTTTAACAAAACACTCCCGCTACTGTTCACTTTTAACGAAAAAACACATTTATACATTTCTCTGGTACTATTTATTATACCTTTAAAAAAAACTTTTCATTAAAAATGAAGTTTTTTAAAACCTTTTATTAGTTTTTTTTAAAAAAATTGGACTTATATCAAGTTTTTCCCTTTTTTATTTGGATTCTTTTTAGTTCGAGGAACCACCAAATTCAATTTACGATGCCCTTCTATTTGATTGTAGTTCTTCTTAAATGATAAATGCACTATCGTTTCTTCTAAAAAATAAAAAAAATAAAAAGAATTGGAATTTGTTCATCGCATTTAAGACAAATAAGAAGCTCATTATTCTATAGATGGCTTCTGCTTTATTAGTTTAGGACTATATAGTTTACTACATCTCTCCATAAAATTATGAAGTAGCTACAAACATTAAGAAATAAACTATATATGCATAAATGCAAGAAACCATCATGACTCATCTCCGGTGAGTCCATTTCGGGCATGAAATTAATCAAAGCCTATGTGGTACAAGAGTACCATAAGACAGTGGAGCTCGTGGCAGATGATCGGACTTCTTCTCGTTTGATCCCGAATACGGTATTTTACAAGGAATGTAAATCATTTCCTTCTCGTTGGGACACTTTATAGGCTTGGAGAAGAATGTAGCACATTCCTCGTTTATTCTCTGATTTGGTTGGTCCAAAATGCAGTTCTTACTAACATCAAGCTTCTTTCTGTCAATCAATTTCTGGCACTCTGGACCGACCTTTGTGAAATAGTTGTCTGCCAAAGACAAGTTCTCCAGGTTAGACAACTTGCACACCATCTCAGGCACTGGTCCGTAGAGCTTGTTCTTGGCCAAGTTTAGAAACTCAATCTTGGCTAAGCAAGCAAATGAGGCTGGGATTGGGCCTGTTAAGCAGTTGGAACTCGCGTCGAATACGGTGGCCTGATTTAGGTACCCAATTTCATAAGGCAGACACCCTGTAAAGCAGAATTTTAAATATCATATAAGATACAATCCGCAAGCGTTAACATGAAATTAAATGTTGTTGGCTGATACTGAGTACCAATCAACATTTGACTATAGTTACGCATCCTTGATATTTTGTAGATATTAATAATAGACATCAACGGAGTACATAGAGTACATAAGCTGGTACATGTTAATTATCTGTTTTTCTATTAAAAAAAAAATATTGTGTGAATTAAACAAACTCTGGTATTTATTTTCGGTAAGTAAACTTTTTGTTTCTTATAAATTAGGGAAAAAAGAATTACACTAATTACATATTTCAACATTATAGTAAGAGAAATATTAAACTTGGCATTCGTGTCGTGTTTTTTGTGTTTATGTCATTTCCATGACATACCCGATATCTTAACAGGTTGTGTCATGTAACACTACATATATATATAATGAAAATCTCTACAACTTTTGTGAAGAGGTCAACTGTGACACTTGCCACCATAATCCCATAAACCATATATTTAATTTTAATGGTTGATTATCATTTACATTTACACTTCATTCTTCTCACTGAATTTTGTTTTTCAATTTTTTTTTTAAAACATGATCTTTAGCGGATGTAAAAAGATCAACGGTTTGGATCATGGATATCATATTCAGATTTTTTACGGTTAATGAAAATATTGCTCGGAGTTTATAAAGTCTTTATAAACTATATGATATTGACTTCTATTTCAGTTAACCATAAACACGGAATGTGATATCAACAATCTGAAACACTCATTTTTCTATATCCGCTGAAAGATCATGTTTTCAAAAGGAAATTTTGAAAAATGAAATCTAATGCGAAGAATAGAGAGCAAACAACAATCGACGGTTAAATATAAACTATGGTTTATGGAGTACAATGTCGAATTTCAGAGTTGACCCCTTCATGAAAATTGTAAAACTTGTCAATGAATGATTGTATATTTTCTTTACATCTTCATACTTCTACATTAATTATTATTGATTTTGCACTCAAACAATAAACATTATTCATGAGGATTTTGAGGGTTTTAAAAATCTAAACGAAGATGTAACCAACGTCTAAGCATAGATGATACAATTACGAGCGTTTGTATATATATATTTTTTTTTTTCGCATTTTTCACACTTTTGCATTAATTATTATGTATTTTATTTATTTTGAACTTCCCCCTAAAACATCAGGTTTGTAGGGTTTTGAAAATTCAAATGACGATGTACTCATCGACGAAGCGTAGAGGATGCAATCACGAGCGTTTGCATTTTATTTTTCATATTTTTCGCACTTTAAAATTAATTATTATGAATTTTTCAACGTGCTTTGGTATTTTTAATGTGCTTTGAAATTTTTTAATCTCACTTATACTATGGCTATACATTGTAGTAAGGCTTTTTAGTAGTTTAAAATTATCAAACTAAATTTTTTCTTATCAGGTTGAAATGGATTACACACGGATAAATCTATTAAGAACGTGTGACCCGATAATGATCCGATTAATTAAAGTGTTGACTCGAAATCCGTTATTTCATGTCATTGTGAGTCAAGTTAATAAGTTGTTTAAGAAATTATCAGGTTTAAAAAATATCACTAAACTAAGAGATAATTCATCCGAATTTAATTTCTTCCCACTTAGTCTTTTATAAAATAAAGTGAAAATATGACTTTAGCCCTTCAAACTCAATTTTCTTCATATAAAACCCTACATAACCTCTTTATTCAAAGTAAACCCAATGCCTAGGATCCACATAAGCAAATTCATTAACTTCGTATTAATTCACACATTTTACATTTTTCACATGCCTAAAATACCCCTATTACATACTTGATGTAGACAATTAATTGTAAGGAAATAGTAAATGATTTTGCAACAAGAAAAAAAAAAGACATTAATGTTAAAAATTTATTGCATATTACTTTTTTAGAAAGGTTTTAAATTTTCATAAAACTATTCGATTCAGTTTTTTCACCCTACTCTTGAATACTTTTGAATTTATCCTTCTTTTATTAATATATTAGAACATTGTATTTCATTATCTACATGCACATTAATTTACCTATGAACAATTATACCATGGGTGTAATATAATATCGCTTTTTTACAATGATGCAAAATAATGTTTATACCAACAACAAAATGTGCCTAACATATGTGACATCCCACATCGCCAATGGGAGTGAGCCTTATATATATATTCTCATCTCTACCTAGAACGAGGCCTTTTGGGAGCTCATTGGCTTCGGGTTCTGTTGGAACTCCGAAGTTAAGTGAGTAGCGCGCAAAAGCACTCCTAGGATGGGTGACCCATCGGGAAGTTCTCGTGTGAGTTCCCAAAAAGAAAACCGTGAGGGAATGGTAAGCCCAAAGCGGACAATATCGTGTTACGGTGGTGGAGTGGGTCTGGGAAGTGATCCACCCCGGGCCGGGAAGTGACAATTTGGTATCAGAGCCTAACACTGGTCGCGTGTGTGTCGACGAGGATGTCGGGCCCCTAAAGGGGGTGGATTGTGACATCCCACATCGCCAAGGGGAGTGAGTCTTATATGTATATTCCCATCTCTACCTAGCACGAGGCCTTTTGGGAGCTCACTGGCTTCGGGTTCCGTTGGAACTCCGAAGTTAAGCGAGTAGCGCGTGAGAGCACTCCCGTGATGGGTGACGCATCAGGAAGTTCTCGTGTGAGTTCCCAAAAACAAAACCGTGAGGGAATGGTAAGTCCAAAGTGGACAATATCGTGCTACGGTGGTGGAGTGGGCCTGGGAAGTGATCCGCCCCGGGCCGAGAAGTGACAATTTGGTATCAAAGCCTAACACTGGTCGCGTGTCCCCTAAAGGGGGTGGATTGTGACATCCCACATCGCCAATGGGAGTGAGCCTTATATATATATTCTCATCTCTACATAGCACGAGGCCTTTTGGGAGCTCACTGGCTTCGGGTTCTGTTGGAACTCCGAAGTTAAGTGAGTAGCGCGCAAAAGCACTCCTAGGATGGGTGACCCATCAGGAAGTTCTCGTGTAAGTTCCCAAAAAGAAAACCGTGAGGGAATGGTAAGCCCAAAGCGGACAATATCGTGTTACGGTGGTGGAGTGGGTCTGGGAAGTGATCCACCCCGGGCCGGGAAGTGACAATTTGGTATCAGAGCCTAACACTGGTCGCGTGTGTGTCGACGAGGATGTCGGGCCCCTAAAGGGGGTGGATTGTGACATCCCACATCGCCAAGGGGAGTGAGTCTTATATGTATATTCCCATCTCTACCTAGCACGAGGCCTTTTGGGAGCTCACTGGCTTCGGGTTCCGTTGGAACTCCGAAGTTAAGCGAGTAGCGCGTGAGAGCACTCCCGTGATGGGTGACCCATCGGGAAGTTCTCGTGTGAGTTCCCAAAAACAAAACCGTGAGGGAATGGTAAGTCCAAAGTGGACAATATCGTGCTACGGTGGTGGAGTGGGCCTGGGAAGTGATCCGCCCCGGGCCGAGAAGTGACAATTTGGTATCAAAGCCTAACACTGGTCGCGTGTCCCCTAAAGGGGGTGGATTGTGACATCCCACATCGCCAAGGGGAGTGAGCCTTATATTCTCATCTCTACCTAGCACGAGGCCTTTTGGGAGCTCACTGGCTTCGGGAAGTTAAGCGAGTAGCGCGCAAGAGCACTCCCAGGATGGGTGACCCATTGGGAAGTTCTCATGTGAGTTCCCAAAAACAAAACCGTGAGAAAATGGTAAGTCCAAAGCGGACAATATCGTGCTACAGTGGTGGAGTGGGCCCGGGAAGTGATTCGCCCCGGGCCGGGATGTGACACATATTTACTAATACATGGAAAATAATTTACCTATATTAAGAAGAAATGTAGTTTGATGCATAGTATTAAAAATACTATGTTACACCCATGTTTATACAACAATAAACCGTGCCTAACATTTCTAACAATACATGAAAAATAATTTACCTACAAGTTAGAGAAATGCTATTTGGTTAGGTGTAGTATAAATTTTTTAATAATTGGAAAAATTAAATATAACTAGGTGTAGTGTAATTTTTTTTTATATAATTAGAACAAATTAATTTACCTACCTACTCTTTGAAATGTTCATTTCCAATGATGCAAAATGTTCATAACCTAACTACAAATTAATTTCCAATAATTTACCTACAACAATTATACCATGGGTGTAATGTAATATCTTTCTTTACAATGACACAAAATATTGTATGTACCAACAACAAAACTTGCCTAACATAAGTACTTGTACATGGAAAATAATTTACCTGTAACAAAAGAAATGCAGTTTGATGTATAAAATCAACAATATTATGTTCCACTCATGTTTATACAACAACAAAACGTGTCTAACACATATAAAAATACATAGAAAATAATTTACCTACAAGTTAAAAGAATGTTATTTGATTCAAAATATATAATATAGGTGTAGTATTTTTTTTTTAAATAATTGGAACAAATTAATTTACCTACCAATTAATATGGATAAAATTGCTACAAAATATATCCCAAAAAAAAAAAAAAACTAATTTTCTAGTTTGCAATAGATACGGTTAATGCAAACACTTTTTTCATTTTATTTCACTTTTTCTACTACTTTTAATTTGACATAAATTTAGAAATTTGGAAAAGGGATCATAAAGTATGAGTGGCATGAGTGTAAATAAGTTGTATTAATAGGTCAATAGTGTTCCTATATGTTTGCAAATTTTAAATTTGGGCTTAAACTGAATTTTTAAAAATAGATGAGTTTTTATCTAGAAATAATGGATTGTAAGGGTCAAAATCTAAATCTAAAGCATCCTAAAATAAACATATAATTAAAAAAGACAGCGATTTTTTTTGTTTTTTAATATTATCGAAATTTTGGACCATACCTGAAAGTTGGTTCCCAAGGAAGAGAACCTCATAAAGGGTTCTGGATGCTTGACCAATGCTTCTTGGGATCGGACCGGTGAAATTGTTGTTGGCAAAAGTGAAGTAATGGGCAGGTGAGGAGCCCAGATCGTCAGGGATCTGCTGAGTGAAACAGTTGTTGTTGAGGAATAGCACATCAACGTCTAGTTTGATGACTCGGGCTGGGACCGGACCGGCTAAGAAGTTGAACCGGAGGTCCAAAAATGTCAAATTTGTTGCTGTTAAAACATCGTACGGAAACCCTCCGGATAGCTTGTTGTTGCTGAGATCGAGCTCGTAGAAGTATCGAAGCATGGCAGTGCCAATCGGGACTGAGCCTGTGAAGTTGTTGGAGTTTGCATGGAAGAACACCAAATCTTCTAACTTGTCAAGGAAGCCATCGAGTGGAAGTTTATTGTTGTAACCACCCAACATAGCCCCGTTGATGTCTATACCGGAGACTGTTTTCTGCTTGTAGACAGGATGAATGGCGCAGACAAAGCCCTTGTATCTGCAAATATTTGGACCCTGCCATGTCTTTGCGAAGCCCTTTGGGTCGGACTTGATTTTTGCTACGAACCTTTTAACCACATTGAAGGCAACTTCAACTCGCTCGCTTTCAAAGGGGCCGGAGGAAGGTGGCGGCGGTGATTTTGGTGGCATTGGCGGTGGTGGAGACTGTAGTTTTGGAGGTGGCGGCAGTGGCAGTGATGGAGGAGGCGGCGGGCATGGAGGGGGAGGAGGGGGAGGACAATCTTCGTATTCAGGGGAGGGAGCAGGAGGGCTGGCCTCACCTCCTCCTCCACCTATGATTATCTCCAGGGCTTCAACCTTATAATGGTACAAACATAAATGCACCAAAAATGTTGAGATCAGAAGTGAAGAAAAGAAAGAGAAGGTAGTCATGTCTGGTTGTTGAAGCTCAATGAATGAAGAGTAGTTAGAAATAGTGAGGAGATACTAATATGTAATAAAATAAATTTTGTATATTAAGGAGATTAAGAAGGAAGACTTGAAGTAAGAAAGAAGAGTAAAGGGTCATGAGAAAACAGATAAACTTGCCAGCCATAAATGTTTGTCTGACGGTGAGCGTTGAGCTCTCATTATTATACATTGCTGTTTGCCATTCACTCTGATTCCTTGCATTATTTTTATATTTGCTTTATAATGTCTATTGGTGGCCTACCAAAAGTCTAGAAGTTTGGCCTTTATTACAGTATTAGAATGGAAATATACGTCCAAATGAAGATTTTGTGCTTGAAAGAGAATTGCAGAAAAAGTAGGTTTATAGTAGTAAAATTGTTACTCTTGCAGTATATTTGTACCATCTCTTAGGAAATGGGACACGCATGTGTCTGTGGGTTATACCTTTATTAAAAAGATGATACAAATGATGATACAAATATTTCATTTCTCTTGTAGACGTGATTGAAATTGGAAGAAAAATACACCACTTGACTTGTTTGATTGGGTAGAGCTGAACCATTTACTCAACATGCTGCTAGGATTAGATGGGATTATTATCTGTAAATTGCATTTAATTTATGTAAATGGTTCACCTGCTACAGGACTCTTGTAACTGTAGATCTCCTTGTGAATAAAGCCATGTAAAGGTTACGTTTTCATCAATGAGAATCAGAAAGTTCACAGGAAGCATTGATGCTTCCATCGCTTGAGGTTGCTTTCAAAGAAATAAAAAAAATAAAAAAATAAAAAATAATTTCATCTAATCCTAGCAGCTGAACCATTCATTTAACTGGTAGGAGGAGGATAACTGAAGTGCTTTTCCAAAAACAATGACTTGTCAATAATTTGTGTCCCAGTCCTTTCACACGGGCGTGCAAACCCATAAACCCTAAGCTCTCTACTTCACAATTTCCACAAGAACAAAATACACATAGATTTCCAAGTCCATGCCACAACAATAATGCAATTTCTTTTGGAGAGTACCAAAACATGACACATAAGCTTCTCGATTGTTTCAACACATGACATTGACTTCCAAGTCCATGCCACAACAATTATGCAATTTCTTTTGGAGGGTACCAAAACATGACACATAAGCTTTTGGATTGTTTCAACACATGACACCCAAGTGGGCTTAAGGGGTGAAGTTTGATTTCAATTTGGTACCCCTACTAACTAAAATATAGCATGACACAAACGTTTGGATTGTTTCAAGACATGACACCCAAGTGGGCATAACGGGGTGAAGTTTGATATTCAGTTAGGTACTCCTTTTAATTAAGAACTTGTTTGAAAGTATTTTTTAAATAATTAAAATCGTTTTTATTGAAAATGTTTTTTAAACCAATTCTTAGAGCACTTCTAGTGTATGAAAGCCGTTCTGGACAATAGGCAACTCAATCCCCTTTAATGAACAGTAACTACCCAAGTGCATCTCTATCCTTAAACTAAATAATCTAGGCAATTCGTATTAAAATATTAGTATTTTTTATTTTATAAAATAATAAAAGATAACTTTATTTTTAATTTCAGATAATAATAAAAAATTGGTTGAAAGTAGTTAAAAATATTAAAATGTAGTGTAAAGTGGAAGAATATGGTCATGTATTTATAGAAAGAAAAAAAAATTATAATTTTTTATGTTTTTATTAGTTTTTTTTTTTTTTTTTTTTTGGTAATTTTTAATAATTTAAGTTGTGGTTGACGTCATGGTGACGTCACATAGGCAGGTCGCTGGGCTAGGCGATTATTGTCTGACTTCTTCATCGGGCTCGCCTTGGATTCAATTGCCCGAGTGGATTGGGTTGCCTATCCCCAAGGCTATAGCAATGGTGGATTCTGGAAAACTACTTTCAGTGTTTTCTGTAAGAAGCACATATCCGGTGCTTCTCCCAAAAAGCACTTAAAGTGCTTTTAAAACTGAGAATTAATTTCACTAAAAGCCATTTCAACCATTTTGAAAGCTCTTCCAAATGAATTCGAAACTACTACAATAATTTAGGAAACCAAACCGACTATTCGCTAAGATATTGGACCACAAGCAAAACGCCTGTAATAGGGTAAAACAAGTAGTTTTACTAAAAACACACACTAAGAGTAATATTTCCTTCATATATAATAAACAAAGCTTATTGGGAGAAGAACATGGTGTCAGATGGCATTGTCAATTGGAATTATAATATGGATCTTAGGTACCATTATTTTGAGAATCCTCATGATTGATTGGAACTCAATTATTTCATGATATGATGGAAATCCCTAGGACTCGAATTATCTGTAATAACTCCTTGAGCTAGTTTTTGGGTTGAACCACTGTCACAACCCGGCCCAGGTGGGACCACTTCCCGAGCCCGCTCCACCACCGTAGCACGATATTGTCCACTTTAGGCTTACCATTCCCTCACGGTTTTGTTTTTGGGAACTCATGAGCAACTTCCCAGTGGGTCACCCATCATGGGATTGCTCAAGCCCCCTTCTTGCTTAACTTCGAAGTTCCAATGGAACCCGAAGCCAGTGAGCTCCCAAAAGGCCTCGTGCTAGGTAGAGATGGGAATATACATTTAAGGATCACTCCCTTGGACGATGTGGGATGTCACAATCCACCCCCTTAGGGGCCTGATGTCCTCGTCAACACACCACGTCCAGGGTTAGGCTCTGATACCAAATTGTCACATCCCGACCCAGGACGGATCATTTCCCGGGCCCGCTCCACCACCGTAGCACGATATTGTCCGCTTTGGGCCCCGACCACGCCCTCACGGTTTGTTTTTGGGAACTCACACGAGAACTTTCCGATGGGTCACCCATCCTGGGAATGCTCTCGCGCACTACTCGCTTAACTTCAGAGTTCCAATGAAACCTGAAGCCAGTGAGCTCCTAAAAGGCCTCGTGCTAGGTAGAGATGGGAATATACATTTAAGGATCACTCCCCTGGGCGATGTGGGATGTCACAACCACCCCTTTATTTTACCCAAAAAAAAAAAAAAAAACTGAAGGAGGAGCAAGAAAATTCAAATGTTGATTCTAGATGTAAGAGTAAATGTTCTTAACTACTCTAACTCCAAGAACCAACAATATATAAGATTAGCAATTAGATTTTCAACAAAAAAATTTTTGTTAGAGATAAAAAAAAAAAAAAAAAAAAATCTTCGTTATAGTTGGTGAATGTAGTTGGGAAACCCAATTGCTAAATAACATAAGAGAGCAAACCAAAGATAAAGAGTAAAATTAGATATCACATGAAATACCCTCGCTTCAAATGTAACCCAAACATTTAGGAAGTGTTTTGGCGTCTGCAAGATTGATTGTTTCTTATTAATATTTAGAGTTTTCTCATATCCTTATCAATCCAATATGGCCTCGTTTCATATAGGGGATTAGATTGGAAATTAATAAGACTCGAAATTCAAGGCATATTAAAAGTAGACGAGAATGATTTTTTGTTCTGAAGAGATTTAAAAGAGGATTATGCCTGAATGAAACTTCACCCTTCTAATCCTATCAATTTGAGGAGGATTGGAATGCATAAATTTTTATTTTGAATAATTCATCTCCTACCTCGAAGCCGATTACATTTTTTTTCATTTCTTTTGTCAACGTACCTTGAAAATGTCTCATATACATTTCAATCCAATCATCTAAACTAAATAAACCTACGCCAATTATTCAAAATAGTCTTATTCACCAATTATGATGAGGCCAAATGTAAATTAAAAGGATGCTTGCGAGCACAACTTTAGAAAAGTTTTGCTTGCATCGAATCTTGAAGTTGGAAAGGCGAAGGTTACAACGAGTCGGGAGGTGCGATCGAACCCTTGTCTTGGCCAAGTAGCTTGCACTGATTCAAAGCCGAGATGGTGAGGGTTTCAGCGGAGAGTGTGAGAAACATGACATTTTCTACAACTGCAGCCCTCATTATAAGCCAACAGGGCTAGTCTTGAGATTTTGGAGGTCCTATGTGAGACTCAAATGGAGGCTCTTCCATGGTCTAAAATTTTGGTTGCTGTATTTTCTTTTATATTTTATATTTTTTTATTGTGTGTAAATTGATATAACGCAAAAGAAAATAAATAAATACAGAAAAATGAAGCATAGTGTGGTAGTCATATACCTATCTGCATTCTCTATGTTTTTAGTTAGAATCTCCATGCTTTTTAAATACAAAAATCATGGTGATATGACTATATACCTATCATATCACTGTACAAATATCATAAGCAAAACCATTCATGCTTTTCTTATCATCTAGAGTTCATCTCAAGAAAAAATTATGTGTTAAACGAATCACTGATTAATTGTACTATAATTTTCTTTTTGATATGGATGACTCAATAGTCTTCAAATGGATTGAAAAATAGATGACTTTTAAACGGTGACCAAAAGAATAAACGATTCTAATTATGAAGTGTATTCTAATTGATATCATATAAGGAGTGGGGGCTTTTAAATATCATATCAAATTTAAGAATTTTAATTTATTATGATCTTCCTAACTACAAATTTATTAGCAAAATTATCTTGTATAATGAAAGAAATTAAACTACAAAAATCCCAAAATACTTACCCTGCACATGCCCTATGTGAAAGAAACATGGTGGAAAAATAAAAAATAAAAGATAACAAATATGAGAAAGTAAGGAGTGGAACCCGTGTACCAGCGCTTGACAAACATGCTAGGTAAACATATATAAATTATTTCCAATCTTTTTTATACATAGAATATTAAGAAGGATTTTAGAATTGGGGTGCCCCAAAAAATGGGGATCCTATGTAGTCGCACTCCTCGCAACTCCTCAAGGCCAACCCTGTAAGCCAAGTGAAAGGTCCATACCGTAACAGACATTTTGATGTGAGGAAGGATACTTCTGGAGCTCCAAGGGATAACTCAACCGGTTTCATATATCCAAAATTAGACAATATTTTGAACAAAAGTAAAAATG